GCTTTTATTGTGTCGTCCCGTGTTTGTCCCGGGTCGTCTGCGTTAGTGTAATGGCACCGTCACAGCGGGACATTCGCGAATGATCTGAAGCCGCTTCCTGGATGTCTGCGGCGGCCGGCGCTTCTTCATCGCTCCGCTGCCTCAGGGAGGACATTCGCTCCGAGAGGAAAATGGAATTGGCCTCAGACGGCGGAGGCCCAGATGAGTTGAGCGCCGGGGAGACTATCAATTTCACAGCGTCACAAAACAGCTCTGCGGGCGCTGGCGCAGCTCTGGCTGACTGACAGACGCGTAACGAGCTGGGGCTGTGGAGAATTCACAAACACAAAAGTGTTTAAGTCAGTTAGTTCCCCCCCCCTCCCCCAATTTTTTGTCAGTACTGTGTATTGTATAATGTGCCACCCTACCTTCGGATCTCTCTCTCTCTCTGTGTTATTCTGTTGCGTTCCCTGCTTTTATTGTGTCGTCCCGTGTTTGTCCCGGGTCGTCTGCGTTAGTGTAATGGCACCGTCACAGCGGGACATTCGCGAATGATCTGAAGCCGCTTCCTGGATGTCTGCGGCGGCCGGCGCTTCTTCATCGCTCCGCTGCCTCAGGGAGGACATTCGCTCCGAGAGGAAAATGGAATTGGCCTCAGACGGCGGAGGCCCAGATGAGTTGAGCGCCGGGGAGACTATCAATTTCACAGCGTCACAAAACAGCTCTGCGGGCGCTGGCGCAGCTCTGGCTGACTGACAGACGCGTAACGAGCTGGGGCTGTGGAGAATTCACAAACACTCACCTGGGCCCCTGGAAAAAAACAACGCTTCTGAAGGCTTGTCCAGAAAACCAAACGCTCATGCTCACAATCAGACAGTTATTCTAGGATGTGAGGCCTTTTTCCCTCTGGCCTGCTAGAAACACTCTTTAACATCAAACCACAGTGGACTCCGTTTACTTTAATACATGCTTCATTTTCTTAACAAAGAAATTGATTTTTAGCTATAACTTACACTGATAAAAATGATGTTGTGGTGAAGTAAATACTACGGAAAAACTAATATAATTTCTACATTAATTCATTTAGTTCAGGCAGGGGCAAATTTAGTGAATTGGGGGCCCCAGGCAAAATATAGGAATGGGGCCCTATAGATTTGCACACATTTTCCTAGATCAACCTTGAGGTTTCTTTTTGTTGTGATGCTTGCTGCTGCTCAATGGTGCCCCATAGTTGTGTCCAGTGTTTCTACATTTTTCATGTACAAGTTATAATGGCTTTGTAGGCCACGAAATAGCAATTGATTTACAGTTGAGATACAGGTTTTCACAAAAACAAAATAAATTATAAAATAATAAACCTCACAATTGAGCGTTTAAACCAAGGGTGAGCCAGAAGTATACATTATTATATTGATTTAAAACGGGGTTATGTGGGTGGATTTTCACATTGGTCTGAACAAAAACTACAGACTGGATTATCAAAAATGAACATTTATTCTCTGCCAGTAGGAGGCGCTTTTGGAACGTCAGAAATATTGAATGAGAAAAGTGTGAAAAAATATAGCCTATATTGAGGAGGAAAGTCCATTGATGAGTTACCAGCGTGAGCCTGTGTGCAAAAGCTGTCTAATTCTAAACTTTAAAATACATTTATTTTTAGTTATTTTAACTACAAATTTAAATAAAACTGAAAAATAATGAAAAGGCAATTATACATTTACACACCTAAGGATTATATCAACCAAAAAAAGTAACTGCGTATGTGTCCTCTACTTGGTTCATCCTCATAAATGAGTAAGCGACATTTAAAACAATTATAAACATATAATACACACTGTTTCTCAATATTTAATTACAGCTTCAGATGTATAATATTTTCATCTCCTTCAAGCAGGATACACAAAAAACACGTTCAACTCAGACCAGGGGCGTCTGCAGGATTTCTTTTGAGGGTATGCACAGAGTTTTTTTTTGATGGATGTCTAAAATATAAAAATAAGGAAAAGCCTAAAACAGGCCCGATTATAATTTGCGTTTTATTTTATAATTCCGTACAATTAAAAAAATAAAACACAAATTATAATGGCATATGTGTAACACTTTGTCCTATAATTGTATAGCTGCTTTTTCTGATTTTTATGTTGCTCTGTTCTGAATACCTTAAAATTTAAAGGACTTGCTGCAAAGCAATTTTGTATGATATGGTAATTATTTATTATTATTTTTTATCCATGCAGCAAATGCTTTAAAATTACTTTATTGCATTCCAGAAGCTTTAAATGTACTTTTCACTATAAATTTTACGGGTAGCTTGAATGTAAAACATTGTCATGAATTCGTTGTATTCCCGTTTGTAAAACAGCCAACAAATGAATTGTTGTAGGCTAACCCGATCTCCTGAACGTGCGTATAGCACGATTTTCTGCTTCTATTTGGCGTAATATTACTATGCAGAAGTTGACTTTCAGGTCAGTCTGAGCGCTCATGGTGCTCACAGTGCCGTACACCTGCAGGCGCCACTGACTCGGACGGCTGTCGTGGTAATAAACACCGTAAACAGCAACCGTTCACGTGTCAGCGCTTAATGCGCATATCCTATATGAGAAGCATTTTAGAGGGCCCTTGGCTTTTGGGGGCCCAAGGCGGTCGCCTACCTTTGCCTAATGGGTAAGTCCGCCCCTGAGTTCAGGCAAGATTAAAAAAAGGAGTAAATTCTATATTAGTGCTTAATATAATATTGTAGAAATTACAGTTTGAACTTATTAGTATTTACTTGGAATTGTTTGTGATGTTCACGAGGATTTTTAAAGTAAATATCAAAGTGATGATCCTGTTTTTCCCATCATGCACTGGGGCATGAATAATTAGTAAGGTTACATTTTTCACTGTTTACATTCTTCATTGTGTGTCGTGTACCAAGTATTGAGGTCTTTGTGTAACTATTACTATATATTATCTGAAAAGGATCACAAGCTGTCTATTTGCTTGCTTGCATGCTTGTAAGTGAACCACATGCTTTAACAGCATGATTTTTTTCTGTGCTATATTGAGTACAGTTTACAAACCGTGACTGAGTGAAATGTGCTTGAGTATTGCAGAGTTAACATAAAATAATTAAGTAGAAATTACTCATCAAACTCTAGCTGGCCATGTTAAATTTACTTTTTTGTTGCTAATTTTACATAAATTAAGTAGACTTACTTAATTCTATACTTTACTATAAATTTTATTTTAAAAAAGTTTTTTTTTTATTGTATTTGTTTGTTTTTTCAGTGTATAAAAGGTTAAAGACATTTTTGAAAACAATACCGTTCTTGTCTCTGTGTAAACTACAAAAAAAGTGAAATTTTGAAAACAGTGACTTCATGCGTATTGTGTTCAGTCTACCGGAATATGTAATATCGCAGGCACGTAGTGTTTTTTCACAAACTGACATCGCCACCTACTGGCCTGGCATGCATAATACAGCCTTTTCAGTCGCTTTCGCAGTCGTAGTCGCCTTTGCAGTTTTAGTACATTCATTTCATGTAAACATACCCTTGGTTTCTCACAGTACTAAATACCAATGAAATCTGTTTCACACAGAAATACGTCAGATTACATACGTGTGTGGCGAATGCTGCTTGATTGTGGATATTAAAGTGTTTGCGTTCAGACATGGTCAAATATTTGCAGCTCATCAAACTCAATCCGTGAGCATTTCTGCAGCCAGTATATACGTACATCGCAGGAGCTTTATTCCTAATTATCATTCTGTCCAGGCTTCCAGAAAAAGCCTGATAGGGTTCCAGCAGGGCGACTATCAGCTGAAATTATCCCGAACTCCAAACTGCCTCTGACTGTCACAGAAAATAAAAAGATCAGCTCTTGACATCTTATTTGAATTAGAGGCTGATTCTCTCGCTGCAGGGAACAGCAGGAACTGTGACGTTCCCACTCGATTTTCCATGCACTATCCTGGTGAAATGCACTTTTCTCATTACAGCAGGTTTATGACAGGAGTCCTCGATGGCGGTCGAGCGGCGTATTGCGGGTTCTCCAGCTAAACCTGCTCTGAACGCTGAGTTGCCACATCTGCTCCTGTTATAATGGATTTGCTTGCCGTTAAGAGGCCGCGGGTCTCGGGGGAAACGGCAAAGAGTTTAACGCCGCTCACTTTCTGCTGCTCTGGTGATTTATTTCGATTAGGCTGATGAAGTCTTCGCTGTTGCCAGCCCGGAATAATCGACTCGTGTGCCCGGAGGTCAAAGTGAACGGCACAGGCTTTATGCAGGGCTGCAGCGCTCAGGTGAAAAGAGCTTCACGAGAATATTACCAAACACTGCACAACGTCACGTGACGCTTGAATCGATACGAACTGACTGCAGCTTCACGAGCGTGATGGAGTCAATTCAACATCAACACAAACCACAGACATCTATGGAAGCTTGTTTCCACCACGGAAGGAAATAAATAAAAAAAATATATATATATACTAAATGTAATTGCAAAAGTTATAAAAAAAACCTTACAATTCTTTTCTTTTTTTCAGAAAATAAAATAAATGAATAACATAATTCTGTAGAAAAAAAATTGCGAAATCTAGATATCCAAGAAAAATTCAGAATTGTGAAATGTTAACCCAGAATTCTGAGAAAAAGTCAAAATTGTAAGATTCAAAATTGTATGAATTCAGGGGGGGGAAACTGTCTTTTCACCAATGTCATCTAAGTATGAAAATAAAAAGCACTCCATTCATTCAGAAAAAAAAAAAAATGAAATCAAATCAAATCAAAAACAGTTTACATTTACATCTAATCAGAGGTAATTTCATGATTCTTTTTTTAACAAGCCATTTTTTCTTTACAATTGAATTGAATTAATTTCAGTCTATGCATCCAGATGTGAGAGTAACAGGGAGCTTAGAAACACCACGTGTACGTTTGCGCTCGTGACGCTTCAGTCTTTCAATGGGGGAAGAAGAGACGCTTCGAAATCACCTGCTAAAGATGCTCTTTTTTTCAGCAACCGATTTGCTTTTCCTTTCTCTTATTTTTTTCTCTCTCTCTTATTACTTGGGTAGTCTCTTTTCTGTGTTATTTACATACACACCAAGTGAAGTCTGAAGGAGATTCGTACAGTCGGGTTCAAGTAAAATCCGTAATGGGTGCGGAATCAGTAGGGCAGTGCATAGAGATAAAGAGATACAAAGTGCAATTCTTCCTACTCGCCCCCACTGCAGTTGAACTCATGCATATCAAATAAGATCCAGAACAGGGAAAGAAAAGCCGACGTGGAGCACATTGAAGCGCTGAACACTAGGTGGCGCTGACAGTTACGCAACGGCTGCCTGTTGCTCGACATATGATGATGAAAACATCCGAAATCTACAACAGAAAGAGTCAAAACAATAAAACGTTTTCTCTATTTGAAACAAGAAAGGGGAAAAAAGCATCTGGAATGCACATCCACAAAGCCAGTGAGGTTCAAGTGTTGAATCGTAATATTCTAGCTGCGAAATTCGCACGAGAAAATACTTAGTAGCTAATCGCCAAGAGCTTTGCAGGATTTTCAGGGTCTTTCGTTTATTTTGGCGTTTATTTGACACCATTTTCCGCCACCGATGACTGAAAACAACAGGGAATTTGACGCTAAAGCTTGGTCTTTAAAAGACGTAATTAATTCGTCTCGGAGCCATTTGGGAACTCTAACGATTAACTATAAAAGAAATGACTTAACAGTATCGGGCCTGACGGTTATCAAACACTTTCTTTTTCGTACCCTTGTCGTTTTTTTTTTTTTATCTGAGACAAATTAAGGCCACAGAAAATTAAACAGTAATGATGGAATTACGTATTTGCATATATAATTTCATAGAATATAAATCCGTACGCGTGGGAAATCAATCGATAAATACTCGTACATGAACTACTTAAACTATACACGTCGTTAAATGAATATCGTAGAAAAGAACAGGCATAAATATAAGGCACTCTAAATGCAAAAGAATGAACACGTGGACATCTTCGTACCTGTGGCCTAACAGATGCACGACGATGACCTTTGACCCATGAGCTCGTGAACATGACGACGATCGCCCCGTCCTCGTTAAACCGACGCAAATCAAACCCTCCGGCCGTAAAACGTCTAGTTATTGCACAAGAAAAGATCGTCCGTCCTGCTGATGTGCATTCCAGCGGAAAACCCACCATCATTCCCATATATTATATCATCTATATATCTATATTTTGTGAATATACATTTCGAGGTTATATAAATAAAGAATTTATTAATATCTCTCTCTCTCTCTCTCTGCTTATAGAAGAACTGAGATATCTTCTAACCTTTATACTCTGCCCACCCCATGATTCAGCGTGTGTGTTTCAAACAAAACGCCACAAACCATCAGCAAAACGATGAATGAAGGAGGGCACATCGGTGTGAACGTCAGGACATACATGAACATACCCTAACCCTAACCCATACAAAGACATGAGAAAAAACGGTCAGTCTAGGCTGATTTCTGTCATAAAAGAGAGGAAAACATCACGAAATGTGAAACAAAAGCTGGTATGCGTTATCGGTGTGGTTGATTGCGTGTCGTAGTTATTACTTCAGCTCTGGTCGTTTAGTCTTCTTCGATGATGGCGATGGTGATGATGATGATGGTGGTGGTCGTGATGAAGTCTCCTCTCTTCATCAGTGACGTATCTCCTCGTATTGATTGTGGAACAAAACAAATTCTCTTTACACTGTGTCTCGAACTCCCCGTCTCACAGCGTCTGTGTTCGTTGACTCCTGTGATTCATGATGATTCATGAATCCTCGAAGCAGCGATTATTCCGCACTTCACAGTCTAGATTCACCTGTCTGAAATTATTATTATTATCATTATTACTATTTATTCATTCATTATTTACTTTTTGAAATCAGATCGGGGTGATTTTTCTTGGTCCACCTGGATATTTGTCTTTTTATTGTCGTTTGTAAGTATTTCTAGGTTTACGTTGCACATCCAACATGTAATCGAAGAGTTTAAGTTCTTTTCACAAGCAGGTATTTATGGCTCAGAAGAATTAAATGACCGCTGGATGTCCGATGGCCGATCCGTCTCCCTGACAGCGGGACGAAGATCTTATGTTGCATAGTGGTCGAAGCTCCCGAGATACTCCAACCCAGCTCTGTAACAAAACTGGTACTGATCCTGAGAGACAGAGACAGAGAGACGGGTCAGATCTGTGCCAAACATTCAGTCGGATCAGATGTGTGTGTTCATTTATCTTAAACCTGCACAACTAACTCATCTAGACGTTTCAATGGGGATTTAATACAAACTTTAATATATGTAGGACATTATTCAGAAAGGTAACAGGGTTGATGGTAACAGAATGGAAAGTTTTATAGTTTTATTTGACAGTTCATTACAAAGATTATTCATTGCTGATATTTCTACATATATAACTTTTTAAATTATGAACTATTTACTATATAAAATCATGGTAACAGGGTTGACTTTTGAAGATAATCTTTTCAAAAGAATGCAAAAGAAAAACTGAATGTGCATTTGTAATGTACTTCAAATCTTAAAAGTATATTTAAACAAATAAAAAATTGTGCCTGCAGATAATATAATATTACTGAAATAAAATGTCACTTAAAAGGGACATCGGATTAAATTTTCACTTTTTTATTTTTATTCATTTATTTTTTGCATTTAGGTGTCTGGTGTGTCTGCCAGCTCAAAAAAGAAAAGAAAACACGCAGCCAGTTCGTTTTGGGCTGTCTGAGTCTGAGACTGTGTCATCCAGCGAGCTGTTTCAATCTGTTTCTACGTAGATAGCTAGCTATTGGAATCAGAACACCTCCAAGCCGTATATTCATGTGTCTTGTGTCAACGCCCCACAGAAGAGAGGGGCGGGGTCAGCAGCAGCTCATTATCATTTAAAGAGGCATGCACCAAAACAGCTCGCTGTGAACAGAGCTGTCCTTGACAAAGTAAAAAGGGTGCTGTTTTACACGATTATTGAGGAATTTTAACCAAAGTATGTTACAGACATTTCATGAAGACCCTGAAGTATCATTCCAACTAGTGGAAACTGGGCATTCGATGTCCTCTTAAAGTGACTTAAAGAGAGACACTTTCATGACTGTGTTTCTAAAGTACACTTTTAAAAAATGACCTTTGTAATAATGTCAAATTAAAGTTTTACTTTAAAGTTCATTTTAAATCATTGTGTTTTAATAATCATTTGTGGTGTTTTAAAGAAGTACACTTATTTTGATGTGTTGACAAACATACTAAAGCACATGAAAAACTCGAGTGTGTTATTCAATTTCAAGTTAATATATTTTAAATGCACTAAATTTAAACTTCATCATTACAAATATATATATATATATATATATATATATGACATACATGTAGGGCTGGTTGATAAAACAATAACGATAATTATCGCAATATAATTTTCCTCGATAAAATGATAAGGTTCATTTCAATAAAACTCAGTCACAATAATTAAATTTCACCATATAAAAACGAGGTTGTTACAATGTTTACAGATTTTCCTGTTTTTGATAATAAACATAAATATGAATCTGCATCCAAACTCAAGCTACTGTCAAATGTGCATTTAAAAGAAACAAAAAAAATGTAATATTAATATTGCAGCCTGCACTGCAAACTGTGTTGAAGATAGTCGTCACACAAACCTGTTTCATGATTTGAAACAATATCACTCATTAGAATATGCAGAAACTAAGAAATTCATTTTTCTATTAAGATCTTTATTTTGTTAAGGAAAAATGACTAGAAAATTGTAAAGAATTCAAAAACGTGAAGTGTTTGTCATGTTCTGAACATAAAGAGAAGTTTAAAACCACAGGTAATGGTCTGGTTTGTACAACCTTTCACTTAGGAGCAAGTCCTACTTAAGCGGGGCAAAAACACTGTAAAGTTCAGCTAATTGCATTCAATATAAATGTAAACTACAATACATATTCGTTTAATTGTAATTAACATGATGACACAACTAAGTGTCTGAAAACATTACATTCAGTTCACGCTTAAATATATTATTAAAAATAAATAAACAAATAATACACTAAAGAGTACTTCTTTTCCACAAAGAGAAAAAGACGAGCTTGTCCTAGGAGAACTTACATCTTAAAAAATTATTATGTTGAAGTTTTTTTCTTTGGTTTTAAATGTATAATTATAGTACATCATTTAATATGGGACACATATGATGGTAACAGGGTTGATGCATGACTTCATTTTGCTCCCTTTCATGGGAACTTCGAACTGCGTCCTCTAGGGGTCGCTATGGGGAACGCATTCGTCGTGACCCGTGTCTGAAGCATACATTGATTTTACATAATGCATCGTTAACTACAATCTAAAAAAAATTGAGATAATAAAGACAAAATGGTAAATTATATGGTCATATATTTAGTTATATAATAAATATATTGATATAAAAGGAAGCTGGGAGAAGACAAAATGTGTGAGAAAAATCCATCCATTTATCCATTGGGAAGTGTATATGACAGGTGGTAAAAATGAACAATTCCAATGACATTATTATCATTATTATTACATGTCAACGCAAAATCTTGAAGACAATTTGGAATAACGTGCACTGATGAATCGCTCACAACAGGAGCAGCAACATCAGTTCAGAAAGCAAACGCAGTGTATTTCATGATGATAATCTAGTTTCCTAAATGAAGCCGCATGAATTTAGGCAGAAAGAAGCCATAACGTTTGAAACACAATCTCTTGGTGAAGCACATGTAACGTGACATCCTCTGAACGGCTTTATGGGTTTCTCGGTGAATTCACGGATGCGCGGCTCCTCTCGTCTCCATAGCAACACATCAACCCGGCTCTAATGCCGCGCTTTTGTGTCAGGTGTCTGCGAGGTGAAAGCAGGGATTGTGTTGCGCCGAGTGTGAGATTCGAGCCTCATCACCTCGCTGTCCGCATTGATCGCAGAAAATAATTTCCCCCATTGACGCTGGGAAAGGCCATTGTGCGGGTTAGCTGTGAAACTGCTTATCTGAACCAATTTGCATGGCTAAACAGAAGGGTTTGTCGTTATAAATGAGAACGAGCGTTTGCGGGCCGAACAAAGCCGAGCGTCCGTTCGTTCCGTCACAAACTCTTCAGACTAAAATCATAGAGGACATCTGAAAGTCCAATCACTAACCTGACCTGGGGTGCGTTTCCCGTACAACGACGTAACTCACTGATTAACCGCCATAGAACGATGCATTGTTGTGGAAACTAACTAGCCAGTCACGACAGAAAATAATTTCCCCCATTGATGCTGGGAAAGGCCATTGTGCGGGTTAGCTGTGAAACTGCTTATCTGAACCAATTTGCATGGCTAACCAGAAGGGTTTGTCGTTATAAATGAGAACGAGCGTTTGCGGGCTGAACAAAGCCGAGCGTCCGTTCGTTCCGTCACAAACTCTTCAGACTAAAATCATAGAGGACATCTGAAAGTCCAATCACTAACCTGACCTGGGGTGCGTTTCCCGTACAACGACGTAACTCACTGATTAACCGCCATAGAACGATGCATTGTTGTGGAAACTAACTAGCCAGTCACGACTGTTTCCCGAACACGGTCGCATATCCGTCGTTTGAACCACATTAGTTCAACAATTTAGGGCCGTTGTTAATGACGTCACGCGCATGAGGTGGAGTAATAACTTCAGCTAATTAATTGATTCGAGATCTCTGAGATGCTGCTGTACTGAACATGGCACCTGATGACTAATTTACTATATTTTGTTCCCCGTCATTTTGCTTTATTTGATGTTAGATTCATCGCGGGTTTCGTCTTACGTCATACTCCGAGGTTCCCTCGGCGCTAACTGAGGACGCGCTAAAATATATATCGATTACAATATATTTAAATAGAATGGAAGATATAGATTGTACTGCATGTTAGCTTGCTTATTGTGCCCAAAAGCATAATTTATTTAAGTCCATATATCTTACTAACAAGAAACTATGCTTCTAACCACAGGTGGAGAGCTGTAGTTCCTACCACACAAGTTTGCGACGCTGTTTGCGAATGTTCGTTTCAACTATGGTTTCGGGAAACACCGAATCGTTGAATTATGTTGGTAACGACGGAACTTGCGACCATAGTTGGCTAACGATGCTTTTGGGAAACGCACCCCTGGACATTATTCGCTGTAATGTGCTGTTTTAATCTGTGTTTTACATCCTGACTGTGAAGAAGTGAGAACGGTTACGTACTTCAGTCTGGACCATCGCCGGCCGCTGTGTTCTCAACATCTTGACCGTCTGGAAGATGTCCACCACTCCTTCATAGCGCATGCGCTCCAGAACGATGCTGAGCGTGATGAAGATGCCCGTCCTGCCCACGCCAGCACTGCGGATCAATCACAACACAACCCGTCAGCTGGAGCTTTGATATTCCAAACCATAACATGTGATCAAAGTTGACTGAGTCTAACCTGGATGTAAAGCGACTTATTTATAATATTTTGCTAATTGCAGGCAAAACCATTGTTATTTCAAGCACTGGTCAACTTTGCTTTCATATCACGTCTTCTATCAGCATTAGAGGAAAGAAAACATCCAACATTTTTTTTTGCACTTTATTTATTTGCGTCTGTAGATTTCAATTCCAATCCATATCTTTAAAGAGTTTTTTCTCCAGTTCAGCAGCACTTACACACACTGAAACTTAGAGCTTTATTTCCGTCTATATTCTGAAGGTTTTTACTGAGGGGTTTGTTCATATATCATTCACACTGATTTATACGACATTTTAATTCCTAAAAACATTAACTTATTAACTGACATCAACAAAAATGAATAACTGCTGTAGAAATATATTGCTCATTAGTGCTAGCTAATTCATTAACTAATGAGGGAAGTTAGATATAAACTTATAGTAAAGTGTTACCAATATTTTGTGTTCATTAATTCTATATTGAGTAACAGTGTTGAGTGGTTGAGCTTAATAAATACAGTCAACACTGTTTTGTGTAAAAATTGAGAAAAATTGAATTAAATCATGTATTCGTCTTTCTGTCAGAACAAATGATCAAACGATGTCACTTCCTGTGGGTGTAACAATTTCAAGTAAAGTATTTTATGTAATGGCGGACAATCAAGTGGTAACAGGGTTGAGGGTTATTCATTTATTTTTATTTTTTTTTTACTGCAATTAATTAAATGTCAACTGTGACGTTGTGTGCTTGTAATTGTTTGACCCAGAGACTTCTGAGGTCACAATCACAACCTCATGGGAGGGATAAAGACATCTGATGTGTTTAAATCAGCTTTTCATGCTGAATTATTTGCTTTTGGATAATATTTAGTTCACAGAACAAAAGATGAGTGTTTCACCATATTCATGAACAGTGGCATCTGCTCTGCTCTGTTTTTCTCGCACAGACTCGTGTCTTTCTTACCTACAGTGGACCGATATGGGTCCGTCCTGACCAAACTGCTCTTTTGTTTTATGCACTTGGCCGATGAAGTCGATGAAGCCTTCTCCTGATTTTGGCACGCCTTGTTCTGGCCAGTCTGTGAACTGGAACTGCCTGACGGTCCTTGACTGTCCGTCCTGAAAGCAGAGAGAGAGAGACGGATGAGAATAAAAGAGCTGCGGCTGCTCTCTGACGCGTTACACGAATCCATTACATTCACATTTACGTGCGAGAGACAGACGCCGCGCTTGTCAAACCGATGACGAGTACATGACGCATCCTGAACGAGTCTGAGAAGCTCAAGAAACAACAATAGTTAAGAAACGGCATGTTGATACTAAACTGATGCCTCAGTGCCAGCGAGATATATTACTGTTCAAAAGGTTGGGGTCAGAAAGATTTAATTTATTTGAAAGGAACAATACTTTTTTTATTCTGCATTATTTACGCATTAAATTGATCAAGAGTGACAGTAAAGACATTTATAATTTAACAAAAGATTTATGTTTCAAACTTTCTATTCATCTGTGAATCCTGAAAAATAAAATGTATCACAGTTTCCACAAAAATATTGTGCAGCAACTGTTTTCAACATTGATAATAATCAGAAATGTTTCTTGAGCAGCAAATCAGCATATTAGAATGATTTCTGAAGATCATGTGACACTGAAGACTGGAGTAATGATGCTGAAAATACAGTTTTGATCACAGAAATAAATTACACTTTAACAGATATTCACATAGAAAACAGCTGTTTTAAATTGTAATAATATTTTACATTTTTAATGTATTTTTTTATCAAATAAAGGCAACCTTGGCGAACAGAAGAGACTTCTTTCAAAAATATTCAAAAAATCTTAATTATTCAAAATTTTTGAACAGTAGCATATGATTAGAGCAGCAAGGGAAGGAAAAGGATCACATATATATGGTGATATATGGTATTTACATGGTATCAGCACAGTAGTTTTGGGTGTTTTTCTGTTTTGAGCTCCAGCCGCCCACGGCTCAGAAGCGTGTCGTTTCACCTGAGCGTGTGAATGAGTGACTCCAGACACTAAATCCTCTGATGTGGGCGGCTGAAAAGCTCCTGACGAGAAGCTCAGAGAGTTCGCATTTCTTTAGTGATTTTGTATATCCCAGATAAGCAACGTGAGAGAGAGAGAGACAGATATAAAACGGCAGGAATGCGTGAGTGTTTATCAGAATAAATGCTGTGATGGAATTAGAGGCCTGTGTGCTTTACTCAGACTGAATATGCATTATAATACACAAATCACAGAGCAGAGGATGGCCGAGGGTCTGGTGTCTCACCCGTGCGTCTGTCACTTTAAACTCTCGCAGGATGTACTGCGGCATGTTGTATTCAGCCATTGGATCCACCACAAAGTACTGATATCTGGCTGAACGCTCTGCTGGCCAGTACTGATGGCACTTTTCCTGATGGACAGACACAATACATCAGTCATGCGACTGCCAAAATACAACCAGAATGCAAAAAGCATCAGCACAAATACCAGCACTGAGAGGAATAATCGTTAACACTGGGGTTTCAGCAAAGAGAAAAATGAATAAAATGAGCACCAAATCTATTTGAAAGAAAATCACGCTGCTGTTTTCTCAACAGTGGCACATGAGATCATGAAGTTTGAGGAAATGTCTTGGTGTTCTTTCAAAATCTGGATATTACATTCAGTCACAGCCGAAAAAGTATCAGCCTAAAAGTGCAAAATGATCTGGAGTCATCAAATTAAACCAACAACCATGGATGACTGAAAAATTAATGTTTACAGACCGTTCAAAACGGTTAACAAATTTGAGGTTAAAATTAAAAAAAAAAAAAAAGTGACCATTTTGAGTTTGGACTCTACAGCGTTAATATGTAAATATTCTTAATAAAAAGTGTACATTTACTTCTACACTGTAAAAAAGACAAAAAGAGAAGTTGTAAATCAAATCTGAAAAGATTATTGGAGCACATTTTATAAGAAAATACTATTTTTGACATCCTACTACAAAATTTCATATTTAATTCAAATGCAATTTCTGATTGAAATGCATTTCTATACCATTTTTTCAGTGTACTTTCTTCAGCAATAAATAAACAAATAAAAAGGATATAACAATGCATAATCTACCACAGAACACCACTGTTAAGACAGACCTTAAATCTTTTATCTAAAATTAAGTTTTGTTTTTTTTTGTTTGTTTGTTTTCCGCCATTGGCAAATAATGTCGTCCTGTTGTAAGCACATTTAGTCTGGGTGTGATGCAGATGTAGATGTAGAACACTCACTCTGCCCATCTCTCTGAGTTTGGTCAGCATCACGACGATGGTGGAGTTGTGTTACCACAGCATCCTCCAGAAGTCTTCTGTGGTTTCAGCTAAAGGACCCTGCGTGGCGATGTAAGCCTTCTGTTGCCTGACACACAGCGAGAGACACATGTTTAGCTTCACGGTCACAAACGCACACAGACGGACAGATCCGGGCTCTTCTGCTAACCTGTATCCGTCGATGAAGCTGGCGTTGATGTAGTCGGAGCCCTCGACTCCTCTGATTGGCTGCAGACAGACGCGCGTGGACTCGTAGGGCATGATGTTAACCAGTCTGTTCTTGAATTTGTTGCAGGGCAAATTGGCACTGATGAACCGTGAGGTGTGAGCTTTTGTGTTCGCTAACCGCTGCAAGAAACAAAAATCATAAACAGCTTTAAAAAAAAAAAAAAAAAGCGAAAGTTTGTCTAGACATGTTGACTTGAAAACAGGAGTTATTGAAAGTTTGAAGGCCTTGTGAATATTTGGACAGACAGTCAGTCAGATATACTGAAATTCAGACAGAAAGAAAAAAAGACAGAAAGATAGACAGACAGAAGGACAGATATAGAGATAGACAGACAAACTGATAACTAGTCAGATAGACAGACAGATGGTCAGATAGATAGTCTGACAAAAAAACAGACAGACAGACAGACAGATAGATAGATAGATAGATAGATAGATAGATATATAGATGTTGCTGTTGCTGTTAAACCAGAATAAACACACACAGTGTTTCACTGGGGCGGATGTTTAATGTCTTTAACTGTCTTGAACTTGGTCATGAAAACAAGAGAGCAAAGCAAATGTGGTTTACTTTGAAACAAGCGAGCGCAGTAATGGTTAGCGCTAGCGTGAGAACGGCACAGGGGTCTCTGGGTTCCTGCAGGAGAAACCACAGGCCCCACACTGTCTCTGCGGCCGAGTAAAGAGCGCTGTTTGATTCGCTCCAGCATGGCGTCGATGACGATGAAGCAGCCGGTCCGACCCACGCCGGCACTGTTAGGCACAACAGACAACAGAAACGAGGGCAAAGGTTTGGTGAAGTTTGTGTTCAGGCACTTTGATACATTTTTGTTTCTTACATGCATGCAATCTGTGAAATCAATGGGACTCTCTTTGCATTTCTGTCTTGAAGGCGGAACAGTCAAACAGTATTCAATGGCAGAGATTCTGGAGCGGATGAACATGGCATACACCTGTGCTCGCTATCAGAGGAAAACAACCCCTCCATTTAGCCTCTCACCCTCTCTAACCTCCATCTACAGACTCTAAAAGCCTCCATCTACTTTCCTCTTTCCATCACTTTGAAGAGGCCAAAGCTTTGCTAACTTCTTGAAGTGCAGCCGTTGACGTCAACCACAGGCACTTCTCCATTAAACACCTGAGATCAGAGCCCTTCATTACGACCAGAGCTCCACAAACGCTCACATTAGCGCTCTTCCTGCACGAAGACGTGAGCGAGAGAGAATTCTTAATCAACGACGCTCTTAAGCCAATGAACACCAGCTCTACCGCACACAGAACTTCCACCAACACACATTTAAAGTCTCCAAAACCCATTTTGAGGAGGACCTGGCATGTAGATCCTTCACAAAGTCAGACAGCAAAATAATTCCACTCTTTTAGGCCGAACTAAGTTCCTAATGAGTCTGAAGATCTCGATTAGCTGGACCAGGTGTGTTTGATTCGGGTTGGAGCTAAAGTCTGCTGGACTGTGGCCCTCCAGGAAGCAACCTCACATGTATCATTCACAGATAAGACAAACCCAGAATGCACTGCAGCAAGCATGAATCCATCCACTCACATTTACACACAATTGAGTGTCTCCGATTCACCTGTGCTGCATGTCTTTGTGTTTGAGTTGCGGTGGAAACCAAAGCCTCATCCAAGAACTAACCAAGACAAGCCTTGCTTAGCTTCCACCATCAGTATAGTTCAATCTAATTAAAAGGGTCTGTTTTACTAAATATTTGTGTTGCACATTGTTCATCAGCTGAATATAATTTTAAAAGTGTGATTTCTAGACTGGGAAATGTCATGGAAGTGAATACAATCTAATATCTTTAGATTTTAGGCATTTTTAATTATATTATTATTATTAGTAGTAATAGTAGTAGTATTTAAATATTATTATTATTATTTATAGTTTTCTTAAATTGGGGTATTTTTGTATAAATTCTGTCCTTTAAACTATTTGAACTGAATGACTGAATTGTTTTCAGGACAAGAGCATTTTTCATCAACTTCAGAGCAAGTTGTCACATTTTTATTGCGGAATGTTTTCACATGTGCTTGAATTATAACGTATTAATTACCATTTTTATTTGCTAAAACAATGGTTTGGTATGATTTTTGTACATAACCGTTTACCCTTTTTTTCCTTTAATTGTTTGGTGTTTCAAGATGGGATGTTGTCACAAAAGGTCAACGTGTTAAATGGACAATATTTTGAGGGGGCAATAATAGTGGAAAAGTTTGGAGATGTTGTAGCCAAGAAAAAACTGCCTACAGTACTTTCATAAAATAAACCACTGCTACTAGCAAGGCTTCATTTCCTATTTGTAAAATCAGTGTCTTTGTTTTGATTTTAGGGGTGAAATATGATGAGGACGTGTTCTTGACAGGTTTCATGAGAAATACTTCTGAAATCACTGCCACTCAAGAACCCTCCGTCTGTCCGTCCAGTGACCTCTCTGACATTCAATCATGCGCTTGGATGGACTTTCTCTTTTGTTGCAATAACGGCTGACTTCATGCACATCGCCGGCGACCCGCGGGTTACAGGTGACAGCGGTAAACGCCCTCTTTACAGCCTCACAC